TGTCTGTGTGTGCGTGTGTTCTGTTACGGAGAAGCGGTGCCACCTCCTTCCCCCGTGGCTCGGGTTTGGTGAACATTGTTGTTGTTGTTGCTGCTGCTGCCCCGCGCCGCGGGTCCCGGTGCCATCTGCCACCAGCGGCGATGGCGGGCGGGCGGGCGTTGCAATGTCGCACGTGTTGTGTTGTCTCTGCCCAAACGCGGTATCGGATCCGGCATGTGACGCAGTTTCGGAGGGGCTGCATTTTCTGGCGTGGGTTAAACAGCCGCAAGCGTCGGTTGGGGCGTGGGGGGCGGGGCGGGGGGGGGGGAAGAGGACCAGGTCGTCTGGGGCTGGGATGATGGTGGAGGGGGAGAGGGTAAACTCTGTGGCTAAAATGGAGCGTGCAGGTGAGAGGACACGCTTTGGCGGGGATGGGAGGGAGGGGGGATGCTGTAGAGAGGGCAAGCCTCGTGTGTGCAGTAGAGATGGGGCTTTGGGAAAGATTAAATCTCGGATGGTCGGGAGAGCTATCCGGCGTGAAGGGCGCTATATGAATGCGGGCTGCTGTTGTTGGGAGACCAGGCAGGAGTTATTTCGGGAGATGAACCTGACCAGAGGTGGAGGGAGCGGCAAAAAGGAAGCAGATCAGTGCAATAATTGTTATAGAGTAGTTGTGATTATATCAGAAGCTTGAAGGGATGAAAGAAATAACCCATGAATTCTCAGTTTTACGGTAGGGACAAAAGTAGGACGCAGGAATCTTGGTTGTTTTTTTGACAGGTTGAGAAGCCGCTTTATTTTCTGGCTGGTAAATAAACCTCAAGGTTGCAAGTGGGTTTCTATATGAAGCAAAAATCCTTTGATCAGTCAGTATCGCGGGCATTGATCAAAATAATAGTAAATCTCTCTAGTTCATAGTTGGGATGGGTGGGAAATAGATATCGAACTTGGTGGTCTGATTTGAGAGAAAATTGTGGTTTGATTAGGAGAGGGTCCTTGAAGGATCTACTGTTAGAATGTTTGGGGGTTGGGAGAGGAAAACTGGACACTGTTAAGAGAGTGGGGGGAAATATCCAATCTTTGAAAATCTTTAAAATTTTTAACAATCTTTGATGGGTGGGGGATTAGAGAAAGTGCAAGAGAGACTGCTTTGTTTTCAATTTACTGTTCACTTGAAACAAAGGACTTTCATTGTAAATTGTGGATATGAATCATTACAAAAAAATGCTTCCTAGCAATGTATTATCAGAGCAGCAAATTGGACAGTGTCTGTATTCTCCACGTGGTCCTGTTTTTATCAACAGTAATATAACTAATGATTACAGTGTTTCATTAACAGTTTCATTTCAATTAGAAAAGATTTAATTACTAGTATTGAATTTAATTGTTGTGCCAAAAATAATCCCAATAGAATTGTTCTTAAGTCCCAGGAAGTTTTAAATTACTGGAGTATGAATCAGATCTTTTCAGTTAAATCTGTTTGGAAAATTCTTTTCAAGTATATTAGTTGGGTGTCACCTACTGTCATTTATTAAAATGTAACATACACCACAACATGGTTCATTACTGAATATGGTTTACTGAAATGATTTGGGCTTTCTGTAATCTAGTTTTTTGTTGGGCATTCTACAAAATGACTAATTACATTTTTTATAGCGCCTTTCACGTCAGGAAGACGTTCCAAGGCGCATTCCTTCCAGGATTGGAAAACTAAGTCAGTTACTGCATTAATTTTCTTTTTTAGTTCTGCATCTTAAAAAATGATGAATAAATTGAGTAATACAGTACGTTGCTATATTTGTTGACCTAGCTTCTGTTCCAGTTCACATTTTAATATCAAACTATAGATTTTCCTTTGACAAATCATATGATCTGGGTGTATTTTGATTCAAGCTACTCCAAAGGATATGAGCTACTTGTTAATGGAAATTGTTGCCCCATATTAAATGCAAATTTACTATTTTGGTAAACGCTAAATTTAATTTTAAAATATTGTTTTTGTTTTCAGTTGCCTCACAACCACTGCACTGCTTTAATCTGTTCCTAAGATACAAGCGTCCCAAATGATTTATGCTAAATTTATGCTGAGATTTTAGTTTCACTGTGGGAGGTAGATGTTGGAAATTGTGGGTGCAAAACTAAATCTCTAGCAATTTGGTATAATATGCTATGAATCAATTGTCTTCTTTTTCTCAAAGGAGCAAGCAATGTATTTTTAGGCTGAAATTATGTAAAATGTTTTTTCTCGGTTCAATCTGCATACCGCCGTAACATACCAAAATATCCAAAATGCACATAGTTTTTATCTGCCAATCTGAAGAAATGCTTTGAGTGGGCTGAACAGACCATTTTCTTATCAAAGGATTAATTTTTTCAGTTTAATTGTGCTGGGATAATATTGGAATTATAAAGTTGGAATCCTTAAATTCATGAGATTGGTCACAAATGGGACTAATGTTAGATGCAAATTATTAAAATACTGTATGTATAGCTGAATAAGGTGCATTTGTTTCAAAACCTAAAAATTGATTGACATCTTAATATAATCTACCAATCATGAGCAGGATAGTGGCATCTTAATGTTCCTCGAATCCAACAATTAAGCTTCAGCTAATGTAGTTGGGGTGGGGGGTGCGGAGAGGAGGGAAAAGGAAGGTTGAATGAAGCTTGTGATGTATCCCCATAGTGCATAACCGAGCTCTTGTATTTGGAGCTATAGGAGCAGTAATTGGGTTTGGGCCAGTTACATACTAGGAAGCTGGTGAGCATTGAAGCATGTTGAATGAACAAAGCTTCTAAGCACCAATGCTTTGTTGCAGACATTTTACATTGTGCAAAATATGAAGTTGTTTCTCATCAGATTTTTTTTAAATGATGGATTTCTTTAGAGCTATTGTCTTGGTGTGGAGTACTGACTAATTTGTAGAAAGTACATCAATTGGCTACTAGAATTGCATGTCTTGTCCAAATTGTGCCCTGAATTTTAATTAAGACCTACATTTATATTCAATCTTTTTTGTTTAAAAAATACTTTTGTAGAATCTAGTGAGTGAAAGTTGTTTAAAATTGCTCATAGCTTGAAACGTTAAGTTGTTCCAGTATAAGTGTTACAGAATTATTTTTTTGAAAATTAATTTGGTGACAGTAAGTGTCCAATCTTAATTATATAACTTTATAGTGCAGTGAGACTATTTAGAATATAGTTTGTCATTGTACCAGTTAAGGGAAGTTGTCTGTATCAGAGGAGTCATTTTACACGATTAGGAACTGTACAGTATGACATTGTTTTCATACTTTTGGCTAGTAAAGAGCTAGTGAGCAGCAGTTGTGCCACTTCTGATTATTTCAGATGTATGTAGATATCAAAAGCTTATAAAATGAAGTAACCATTTTTGCATTGTTGCATAGGATAATAATGCCTTCCTTACCTTCTGTCTTCAGATGAGTGTTACCATTTGTCTTTCTTTCAGTACAGTAGTACAACAGTAGTGTACAGGTTAGTACAGTAGTAAACAGCATATCAGATTGTCTTTATGGTAACATAAAGACAACCTGATGTGCTGTTTACTACTGTACTAATCTTGCTTGCGACATTGTTGTACTGTTTAGTAAAGACTGCATCCTGTGAATATTATGCTTCAAGTGAAGCAATAAAGGATACTTGGGCTTCTGCTTGCCTTTTCTTGAGCAAATCTCTGGTTTATGACTTGGAAGTAAAATTATTGAATTATTATGTAGAGATTGTCCAAACCTCATCTGTTTTGAAGTTTCTTTTTTTCTGACCTGATACATCAAACTTGTAGTTGCAAGTAATGTGAGAATTCTGGTTGCTTTGTGGTTATTTTGCATGTTATACTCACAGTGCTGACACTTGGATAGCTTTCATTGTGCCACACTCCAGTGTGAGGTTCAAAAGATCTGCTTTGTTTTGTCACCAAGGAGATGTTGATTATTCAGTTGTAAGTCTGGTACTGGAAGCCTATTTGAACCCCATATTCCTCTGGCAGTGAGCTTAGCTGGTAGGATAACACTCTTGTTAGTTTGGAGCAGGTATGAAGACAGGTGGAAATCAGGGGTCTGAAGACAATATCTCACCTGAATTAAGCTTTTTTTAAAAAATATGGAATATTAATCTGTTAGCAGGAATTGACATGTATTGTGCTTGTTGCCTTGACAGAGTTAGGGGAGAGAGAGGATTACAGGGGTGATTTATGTTTCCTGACGTGAAAAGCGCAATATAAATTTAATTTATTGTTGTTTGCTCTTGTCTACGGTAATGCATATATCTGTGGCAATGGAAAACTGCTTATGACATTTGTGTGATGTATGCAGGAGTTGAGTTGTGGAGGCAAGCCAATCATTTTCTGTTTTAGCAGATAATCAAGGTTCTACTGTAGTTATTCATTGAGGATAAAGATTAAACAATTTGTTTAATGGTTTTAAATGGTGCATTGCCATATTAAACTGCTATTGTATTTTGGAAGACTTATTGCTCTTAAATCCCTGACTGTCCAGTGCCTTGGGACGGCCTCCCGACATGAAAGGCTCTATACAAATGTAATTTTGTGTTGTATTAAATTAATGTAAGGAGAAAAATCTGTTTGAAGTCTGCATACTTTCAAAATTTTCATGAAACTTTAAAGTGGCTAAATACCTTTCTTGTTCTTGGTATTCAGTAACATTGCCCAAATTAACTAAAATATGAGTTCTTTATTAGATCCTTAAAGAATAAAACCATATACTGTATTTGGTAAAAATCAGAGACAAATCAATGGTGGTAGGGAGGAAGTGCTTCCAAAGAATGTGATGAGAGAGAGAGAGAGAATGGGAGGGGAACACTGCCTAACTCTTTGGTGAGCTATCTTCCTTTAGTAATTTTCTTTTAATTCAAAATTGTCTGTTCTGAGCTAGTTGGTGAACTTTCTACCTATAACCTATGTGGTACGTGATGGGTTTGAAACGTGCTTATTTTATACATCTCGTGATATGTAACCACATGGTTGATCCTATTTTTCTTTTAGGATATGATGCAACATCATCACAGTAGAAATTCATGTCTATAGCCTTGGTGTATTTTGGGACTCCTTTTCATCGGCAGCAGGCCTAANTTTTTTGTCAGCACCATTGAGGCTTACCCTTACAGGACTCATCATTGCCTGCCTACATATTTGATACATCGCCAGTCAAGTCTTTTCAAATCTTGATAAAACTGGATCCAGAGTGCCCAAAAGAAGCATCAAGTGCCTTCACTTGTTCTATAATTGTTTCTTGGAATTACAGCAGTATTAATTGGGTAAGTTTTTCCAAAGTATTGAAGTACTTATTCTGATCAACATTAAAGATTATACACATCCATTTATTCTCTCCATTTCTCTATTTTTATTATTATTATTATTTTACCTTTATCAAAGCTGATTGTTAGATTCAGAGATGAGTGAAGTCCATTTAACTGATGCATTGTTTAGACAATATTCTTAAAGAATAATTAAGTTTTTTATGTTTCTAATATTTTAGTGGGTGTAATCCTATACAATAGAACATATGCCTTGAAGAATCTGCAGATGATGCTTGTTTTTCTGTGCGTATAACTTGAGTTTCAAGTTCTCTATAGTAGAGAAATTTAAATGGGGTGGATTTGAATTGTTATTTCAATTGCTTTTTGATCAGGGGTGGAAAATCAAAACACTATTGCTTGCTATTGGAGATGGTAAAATGAAATATTGAGCTGATTTATTTTGGATGAGGTTATTTATTTGACTGAAGAAACATTGAAAACCTGAAGTGCAGAATTAGATGAGCACAAAATCAGCATTCATACTCATTGTGAAGCTCAGGAGTTTTGCTTGGATAAAATCATATGGGTTGAAGTTGCCATGTTTCACTCTATTCCCATTTGCCAGATTAATTTACATTTATATTTGCATCTGTCGCTCAAACTATGGATTAGCTGCGTCATTGGTCTTTTGAAACAAAATGTTATTTGATCATATGCTTCTCTTGCCTTACTATTCTTGTGCAGAATCATTTTTATGAGGGGTATACCTGTTATTGTCTAAACTAAGGTTTCTTTTGTTTAGGATTTTATGACCATGTGCTACAAATGTGGGTGTATTCTATGCATAAGCTTGTGACCAATTGTGAAAAAATTGGTTTATGATTAGTAAACTTTGTATTTTAATGTTTTTGTCAGACTTCCCTAAACACGGAAAACAAAATGATTCCTAATGGATATTTAGTTTTTGAGGATGAGAATTTCATTGAGTCATCTGTGGCCAAACTCAATGCCCTTCGAAAAAGTGGACAATTCTGTGATGTTAGGCTCCAGGTATTGATTCTTTGATATTACAAATCTTTTTTTGTTAAAGGGTAAATTTGATTCTGAAGATATGCTGAACTGGTTAGCTAAAGACACGTTTGTAATGAATACTAGCGAATAATTGAATTTCTGATTTTTTTTCTTTTCATGGTATTAGCTTAAACATAGCTTTTAGTAGGTGGGTGGTTATATTCTTGATATATGGTTTTAAAATCCTATTGAAATTATAAATTTTATTCCATTTTGCCTCCCTTCAGCTGGATTGGAGTTGCCAAATAACAACTGGTTAACTTTTTTGGTTGTAAGATTGATTAAAATTATAATTATAGTAAGCAAAGATGAAATATCATCTGAGAAACTGCGATTTAACTGAAGATTGTCTGAAGTGACTGAAGTACTTCAGAGTTCATGTATTTCTTCCCCTCCACCCCCCCCCCCCCCCCAATTCAGGTCTGCGGACATGAGATGCTGGCTCACAGAGCCGTCCTTGCTTGCTGCAGTCCTTATTTGTTTGAAATCTTCAACAATGATAGTGATCCCCATGGATTTTCTCATGTGAAATTTGATGACCTGAACCCAGCTGCAGTTGAAGTCTTAATGAACTACGCCTACACTGCACAGTAAGTGTTCGTGATGAAGCCCTGTCTTCAAATAATTGTCTCTACTAAAGAAAATATTTCCCTATGCAGTTACAGTGCACCTCCAAAGTGCAGTGAAATCTTGAGTCCTGCTCAAATATTTTCAACAAGCTCAGAAAATAACTTGCTCTGTCCCCAAAGTATTTTTTTTCTTTTTTGGGGGGGACACCTTACTAAGTTCTATGTGTACATGCTGCCTGTACATGAAATTTTTCCTTTGTCGAATGGGCTGGGCACTTGCTCTCCGGAGAATATAATGCTGAATTGCATACTGAAACTCACAATTTAAGACTTGTAGAAGTGTGGCCACTTTTTTATTTGGGAGCCATATGAATGAGCCTATCTTTTCTGCATCACTTTTAATACAGTGGTAGAGTACATAAACCCTGATAAAGCCATGTACGAGTAGCCTAGTTCTTGAAGGCTGGTATATTTCTTGCTGGGTCTGGAAGATTATTGTCCTTTCCCAAATTGCCTTGTTTTGCTGTTGGTTAGCAGAGAAGGTCTTCTGTGAGTATGTTTAGCTGTAATTGGTTAAGCAAGTTTCCTTACTCCACACCCTAATAATAATCCCTCCAAAACCCAAAACAATAATTAATTGGTCATTTTCAATCTACGACTGTTTGTGGGACATTGCAGTGCGCAATTGGCTGCCGCGTTCGCCCACAAATATACAGTCAATTCACTTTACAGTGTGTTCTGTGAAGCGCTTTGGGACGTCCTCCCGACGTGAAAAGCGCTATATCAAATGCAAGGATTATTATTATATATTATGAAGACTTGACATTTTCAATTCCTGTTGAGTAAACAGATTACGTGAATATTTGTTCCGATTTCTTTGTTGACCCTGAATTTTCACATTCTTTTTATTCTCAATAGGATTAAAATTTATCTTTCAATACAAAATACTTTTTTGTTTTTATGATTGATGCATACGTTCAAGCTTACTAGAAAGAATGTTTAAAAATGGAAGATAATGTTTTCATTCAAAATAATTCAGAATTGGGCCAATTAAATTTTTCCTTTTTGACTGTAAATCTTTTAATTGGTAAAATGTAAATTCTTTTACATTTGGTTTATGTTGCATTGCAGGCTAAAGGCCGATAAAGATCTGGTAAAAGATGTGTATTCAGCTGCCAAAAAATTAAAGATGGACAGAGTGAGGCAGGTATGTATCTGCATTTTGAGCTAATTAAGGGGCTTCAAAACTGAAGAAGGAGGCTGTTTTAAATCCTTTTTAATCTAATCAAAAAATATTTCAGGATTTTCATCTGACGGTCTAGTTTTAATCATTTATCTAGTCACTTTTTATATTGACCTAATGCAATATCATCTATCTTTCTCGTCCCTTTTCCGTCCCTATTTGATGTTCGAGTTTTTTTTTAAATCAATTTCTAGATATTTCTTGTTTTTGATGGTTCACCTTCCAAAATAAAATGACTATTTTGGTAATTGCAATTTTTCTGTGGGGTGCATAAAGTTGCTTAATGTTTCTAACTACACCTGACTTTCTGTTAGGTATGTGGTGATCATATATTATCCCGGATGGAAGTTCAGAATTGCATTTCTTATCGAAACTTTGCTAGTCAAATGGGAGATTCTCGACTGCTGGGTCAGATTGATAATTGCATTCAGGAACACTTGATGGAGATTTCAGAGCAAGATGCTTTTCTGAAACTTCCACGACTAAAGGTAAGCAAAAATTAGAAATTGAGCACCTCAGCTCACTCATCTACTACAAAAAGGGCTTTTGATTTGTAATGAGTAGTTTGTGTTTTCCAATTTGACCATTATTCATTTGCTCATCTTGTTGTTTGCAAAATAACTAGATTTCGACATAATTGCTTCCTCAAGCACTCAAAATTTGTTTTTGTTTGGGCATTGAAATCTGTGAGTTGCTTGAATTTACAACACTGATGTGAAATTGTTTCTGAAAACTCATTTTGCCCTGGTAAGAGGGTGCTCTCATTGACTGANTTTTTTTTCTCTCTCTCAGCTGGAGGTGATACTGGAAGAAAATGTCTCCTTGCCTAACAATGGTAAACTCTACACAAAGGTAATCAACTGGGTGCAACGTAGTGTCTGGGAGAATGGAAAAAGCCTGGAGGAGCTGATGGAAGAGGTTAGTGGAACAGAATAAATACTTTTTGTCGATCTATGGAGGCTTACACATAAAGTATGTTGTTAAATGATGCTAAAGAATTTAAATTTTGCTATAGGTGCCCCCAAGCTGAGAAACTGGGGTGTGCAGGTGAGCAGTATAAATTGTTTAGTTTGTTCTTTGCTTCATGCAGCATTATTTGTGTAAATTGCTGTTTTCATTTTGTTTTGAAGCTTTTTTTGCAGTGTAGAAAAGTATAGAACAAGAAAAGGTACTTGTATGTGTTTAACTGCCTTTCTTCCACAGCTAATCCAGATGAGTAAGTACAGCATTCTAATTGTTCTCCCTCCCAATTGATTTTTCTTTCCTTAGATTAAACCTAACAAAAGTAGGATACTCCAAGCCTGAAGAAAATGAAGATACTACGAGGGTAGTGACTCATAAAGAAGCAGCGGCCTTTCCCTAAAGTCTGCAGAATCTTGCTTTGAGCAGAGATTTGAATTAATGGTGTTTACTCTTTACAGGATTGATAAGGTTACTTAACTTGCTATGTTATGATATTGTGGCAAAATCAGCCAAAACTTGCATATCTCCGTTTGCTGTCAGGATTGTAGTGTGAGATATTTGTGGTTTGCTGTGTAAAATACTGACTCAGTTTTGAAACAGTTTAATTTAAATGGTGGAAAACAATTTTGACCTTATTCAGGTAAGTCTATAAGATTGTAATTTTAACTATTCCAGTTCATACTAGACAATTTCAGAAGCTAAATGCTATCTGACTTTGAATATTACTGGATCGGCTGTTATTTAGAGTAGCTGTGATGGGCATGTGATGTGTCAATATTGCTTCTCAAATAGATGGTTATTGACAGTAATGCTGTCAGCAGTTTGTTTTCAAACAATCTATACAAGGCTGCCTAGTGGGTCAGCACGTAGTGCACAGATCTTTTATAATGATGATGATAATAATAATCGCATTTGATATAGCGCTTTTCACATCTTCGAGATGTCTCAAAGCGCTTCACAGGATAGACTAAAGTGAATTGACTATATTTGTGGGCGAAATGCGGCAACCAACCAACAGCAGCGTCCCCACAAGCAGTTGTGGATTGAAATGACCAATTTATTATTTTTTTTGAGGAATTATTATCAGACGTGTGGAGTAAGGATACTTGCCCAAGGTTTCACTCTGCTGGGAATCAAATCCAGGTCCCTCGCTTGCAAAGCGAGTGCTCTAACCACTGAGCTATAGAACTCCACAACTCTCCTCCCCATCCCACACTGTACCTTCTCCTCAGCCATGTGCTGGATCTTCCTTTCTTCTACCTCATGTTCAAGCTTCTCTTCTTTGATGGTAGTCGGATATTGTTCTCCATCCAAGTCCCCAAACCACTCTGAAGTTTTCATTCTGCACTAGCTTATCCAGAGGAGACTTTATATGTCATATGTCTGCACTCTAAATTCTATTATGTCGCTCATTATTTTCAAAGCGTTCACAAACAAAGCGTCAGTGTGTGAAATTCTTGCTTTGGTCTAATTCAGAATTGGATGTTACTTTTGTTAGAAGCAGAGGTCCTGTTGTTTTTGTATAAATTGGCCATTTTGATGTATGATTGTTTAATATGCAGAAAATCACTCCCCTGTCAATTCTTTTTAAAGGTTCTTTGTGGAATTTAACATTATGATATTCCATGACAACCATATTTTCCTATTGAAATTGTTTACCCTCTGTGCTCCCAGAATTCAGTGGCAGTTAAACCCAGTGGTGCTGTACTCATTGGCTACCAGAAAATGTTTGAGACTGGCCAGTTACTTTTAGAAGGTGTTCAGGCTGTATTTACTTGTGGAATAGCTTCTTTCCTATTGAAATCATAATGTAGTGTGTATTTTGCACCCCATCATGCTATACTTTAGAAGGTTGCAGTTACTTTCACCACAAATTGAAGACTTGTGAATATTAAAAACAAGACCATATGTGTTGCTAGTATACCAGGTTCCATTTGTTGATTGAGGAAGACCTTTTTTTATTGTATTGATGTCAGTTCATGTGGTTCTGCAGGGTTTGCAGATAGTAAAATGTAGAAGTCATTTGTAAAATGGGGAAGCCAGGCATGTTTTTTGGAAAAACTGGGTAATTTGCATTTGTTAACCATTGTAGTGTTCTAGATTTTTCTATTCTGAAATAATACTCTTGACTGGATCCAGGTGGAACACTGACACCAGAGAGATACACCTGAGAATGAACCATTGCAAATGATTAATTTGCTAACCTGCATTAGATAGAGATCAAGGGTTAGGTAAGGTGTCTGGTAGACAGATAGATGGGTTCACTTCAGTTAAGACCCCTGGTGGTTGGTTCAGGTTTCTATTGTGAACCAGCATTGCAGGACCTCTGTGTGTTCAAATGATGAAGTCACAGGTTCCCTGCTGATTTGCACTGAGGCATTAACTGCTCTCCATTCAAGTTTAGTTGCTTGTGGTAAACTATAAACTGACATTGATCAAAGAAATTTTTTCCCCCATCTGGCATCTTGTTTGACCCTCAACTGTCCTTTCTTCCCTACATCCATGCCATGACCTGCTCACCTCTGCAACTGGCTCTACTGGCTCTCCACCTCACAGAGGATAGAGCGCAGAATCCTTGTCCTCGCCTTCAAGACTCTCCATGGCTTTGCTCCTTCCTACCTCTTTGACCTGCTAACCCCATATCAACCTGTCCACTCAGCAGACTTTGGCCCACCCCGTCATCAGCGATCAGACCTTTAGCCTTTCTGCCCCCACTCTTTAAAACTCCATCCGACGCTCCCTTCACCTTGCTCCCTCCCTTGCCTCCTTTAAGGCACGTCTCAAGCCCCTCCTCTTCATCCGTGTCTTTGGGCACGCTTCTGGCCCCCCACACCCCCGTGATCCCAACCCCCTACTCAGCTCCTAATCCCTGAATGTCTAACACCTTAGGAAATCCTCCTGATGTGAAAGGCGCTATACAAATCTAATTTGTTGTTGTTGGTCAGGTTTAAATAAGGTAGGGCTGCCATTTGAACTTTAGCTTCTCCCTGGCGGCAGGTTAGCTTCGTTGAATGAGTAATCCCCATCCACACCATTGGTTTGGAGAAGAGCCAAAATCAGTTGCACATTGAATTATATTTCTGTATACAATAACGAATCTCAAACTTCAAGCGAATTAAGTTGAAATGAGATGCATACAATTTTAAAGACAAATTAGTGTGTTCTGATTCTCATTTTGTATATTGTCGTGTTGATTGCAAATCTTAAGTGATCTTCAAATCCTGTTTCTGTGTGTTTCTGTATTTCCTGTTTCTTTGCATAATGTCTTCCAAGCAACAACGGTGAAACCTCTACAATGAGAAAAACATCTCCTACCACGTTTGTCGAAGTGGATTTTCTATGCTTCAGTTTTCCAAAGCCAACTAAGCGTGCACAGAACAGATCATCACTGTTTAGAATGAGCTGCTGCCTTCATACGAATGACTTAACTTTCTGTCAGACATCTACAGTTCCCTTCAAGAAAGCCGATTTTCCAGCTCTGAGGAATAAAACCTATCCAGGAGCTTACATAACCTAGTTTGTTGCCATGGAAATAGTAGCAACATGGGTATTCTGTTGCTGTTTTGCAGGTTCAAACCTTGTACTACTCTGCTGAACACAAACTGCTTGATGGAAACGTGCTAGATGGACAGGCTGAGGTGTTTGGCATTGATGATGACCACATTCAGTTTGTGCAGGTACAGAACTTCAGAGGTGTATGTAGAAATTAGTTAGGACTGGACATTCAGTCCTGCTGATCAGAACTGGAACAGAAGCTTTACCTGTGTATTCTGTACAGGGATGTTGGTCTATTTTCAAACATTTTGCATTGCATGATTTGTAATGCAAGCTAGAGAACATTATGGGATTTATTAGTGAGATTCTACAAAGTTAGTTAACCAAGGACATGTGTCCCACATAAGTGCTCCTTGATGTAATCAAAATTGTGTGTGTGCACACTAGCAAATATTTTTCCTGCGGACTATATGCCATTCACTGCACAGATGGCAAAGTAATCTGTTGACAAGCTGAAGGTACTAGGGTAGCTTGATAGGGCTTCGACTAACATTCCCTCCATTTATGCCTTCCTGCCTTTGCAGTAGTCCTAACCTTTTTTGGGGGCACCTTAGGGCTGATGTTGGGACATTTCAGGTTCCAATGACACACACAAATTCTCCACTTAATATATAGCATGTTCCAATACCTTCTCTGGATTTGTTGACTTGATGTCCCATTCTTAATGATTTGAGGAGAGTAGACAACTGACGTCTAGACTTGCAAATATTGCTGGAAGGTTTAAGCAATGCAACTTCTCTACCCCATTCATGCATGGAAAAGTGATTCGTGTGGACAGTCTGAATGACGTGAATCACAATTTACCTCCATGCTAAATAGATCAAAAGTTCAATTGCCCTTCAAGATCTTATTTGTGGTGTAGAGTCTGTCTCTGCTCTGCAAATCCACGTGCCATTTGATGTTCATCTGCTGATGGAATGTTCCGATGGAATTTGTCAACGTAATGCGTACTGTTGGTATTTGAGTCCATAACCTGCTCCAGCAAGGTTGTATGAAGATGATTTGAAAAGAGGATCAAATTTAAGTATAAGATAATAATTTTTCAAATCCAGTCCAATTCTCTTGCTGTGCTTTTCCACCTTGGTCTACTATTTATTCCTCACTCCTTCCATTCCATTGGTGGCCAATCCTTTAAACACTGTCCCTGCTCTCTGGAACTATCTCCCCAAATCCCCTCACCTCAATACCTTGTAGACCAGCCTTCAAAATCCTCATAAGCGTTCTTTGGCCATACCTTTGGGCAACATCCCAAAATTTCCCCCTCTTGGTAATCCTCATTGCCATTTGCTTCAAGAAAATCCTACGAAAGTCACTGCATAAGTGCAAGTTGTTGAATCCCATAGGAGTATGGTGAAGGTAGTGAGTGAATACAGGTGTAGCCTAGCTAGGTTTTCTAGCTGCACACTTGATTTTGCAGAGGAAATCTCCGCGGGAGAATAACCACCGTCAGATGTGCAGCAGCTCTTCTGGAAATTTGTGTGCTCAAGTGCAAACAAACAAACATGAGTGGAAAATCATCGCCTCTGAAAAAACATCAAGTAAGTTGTCTTCAGTTCCAGAAAATCATTTTATCATTTCATTGACTTCACCTGATTTTATATAGAGTATTATTCATTGTCTTTTGGAGGGAGTTAATCTTTATTTCCTTTTGTGCTTTTTAATAATATTGTCTCTATGGCAATTGACATTTCATGCCAAGGGATGAGTGACCTTTTCTAATGCTACTTTAAACAACTGTTGGGCTCATGCAAGTGTTCACAGTAGCTAGGTATGTATGTCTTTTAGACAATAATATCTCAGGATACAGTGTATAGTTTGGGACACAACATGTCAAGTGACTGCCTGGATGGTGGAAGTTGAACTAGATGGACCTTGGTCTTCTTTTGCCTAGCAAATTCTTATTTTCTTCTAAAATTCAAGTTCATTTTGTACTTTTTTGAAATGCCAACTTCAAATTCATGGTCCTTCCTACACTGAGGTTTGCCATTTTATATGAGCACAGGGTTTCCTGCCTCATCTTTCACTTCTGCAAAACAAGTTGATTTTTATGTTTTTTTTTACAAAATACGGCACATGCTAACCAGTCAACTGCTTTCCTATCCAGCCACTACCTTCTTATGCTTGGCTGTTCTCAATGGTGTGCTGTGTGTCATCTTTATTCATGGCCGCAACAGTCCCCACAGTTCACCCTCCAGCACTCCATGTCTGACGAAGAGCATGAGTTTTGAGATTCAGACTGAAGAGGAAGATGATAAACTTCTGCCCCCCATGGAATACGCTCGTTCTGGTCTGGGGACAGCAGAACTGAATGGCAGGCTTATTGTTGCTGGTGAGTCTAAAGTTATTAAGCTTCATAGAGAGGTGGATTTTTGCAGTTCGTAGTTAATTATAGTTTGCAAATTTATTTTTCATTTAAATATCCTGCAACTGACCTGCAATTTCTCATCTAAGTTGTCATTCTTGTGTGCTAGATAAATTGCTTAATACAATGGTATCATGAATGTAGAATATCTACAATTGCTTTGATAAGCTCTGGCTACCTCCCAGAAGTTAATATTGCTCAAATTTACCTACACTTTGCCCAGCACTAATTTATAAGGTACTGCTTTTGCCCTCCAAACATTTGAATTCCCTATTTTATTTTGTTTTTTAAAAAGTTTACTGATGAAATTGATGCTTAAGAGTTTGGGTGTGTTGGGTTAACTGTTTATTTCTGTAACTTTACACTTGGGATTTGTCTTGACTTGTGGTTCTGGTTGTTAGGTGGCTATAACCGAGAGGAATGCTTGCGCACAGTCGAGTGCTACGATCCTGCAACTGATAATTGGAGCTTCATTGCTCCGATGAGGACTCCACGAGCACGGTTTCAAATGGCAGTGTTAATGGTAAGTGCTGGGCTAAAGGAAGAACTGTGTAGAGAGGAGCGTTAAGTTGTGGTCAAAAGAACTTGGGTAGAAATTTGTACACATTGTAGTGTTTTGATTTTTTTCAAACCCTCAATTATGAAGCTGTTCTCGTAATTGTGAATTCCGGTGAGATTTAACTTTGTTTCAGTGTTAGTCTTCTCAGCATCTTAATTGTATCTAATAGCGTTCATGCACTCTGCTGGGTAATTTAAATTTGCCTGTAATCGATTAGGTTAGAGATAGATGTCCGTTCTTTTGTGCTGCAGGACCAACTGTACGTTATAGGTGGATCCAACGGGCACTCAGATGAACTTGGATGTGGTGAGACTTACAATCCCAATACTGATGACTGGACACCCGTACCAGAACTCCGTACGAATCGTTGTAATGCAGGTAAGCATTACCTTAGAATTATACTAACTGTGTTGTAACTAATTAAATTGAAGTGGTTTACTTGACTGGATTTTGATTGGTTGACAGGTGTATGTTCCCTGAACAGCAAGCTGTATATTGTCGGTGGATCAGATCCATATGGACAAAAGGGATTAAAAAACTGTGATGCCTTTGACCCAGTTTCACAAATCTGGACAAACTGTGCTCCTCTTAATACACGTACGTATAATTCTCTGGAATAAAGTGTAAATCTGCTACATTTTCTCAATTGTGGACAATATTGGCTAAAGTAAATAAATGTAATAAGTAACCTTTTATAAAATTATTCACCCTGGTCTGTCTTTAAAATCCGCCTATAATCCTCCTCCCTCAGCGTCTGATAGTCTCATGAAGCTCTCCAAGATGGATATTCTTCATGAGGGAGGGTATATAAATGCACACTATTTGCTGATATTGCTGCGTTTTTGTCAATTTCATTCCCTCCCCTGAAGGAATTCGACTTAACTTTTACTGGAGCACTGTTTCACAAGTAGCTCTTGGTACCTCACAAAAACCAGGCTGTTTGTGGATGACTAGATAATGATTGTCAGCAGAATGTTTCATTGTGGGAATTGCAATTGCATTGAAGCCAATTTCAACAAGTTCCTGATTTAAGATGTTAATATTTTGACTGGCACATTTTAAAATCATGCTATTGAATATCTAGGTAGGCATCAGGCTGCCGTCTGTGAGCTCGATGGTTACCTGTATGTCGTTGGAGGTGCAGAATCGTGGAACTGCCTGAATACAGTGGAACGTTACAATCCTGACAACAACACCTGGACTCTGGTTTCACCCATGAATATGGCTCGCCGTGGAGCTGGAGTGGCTGTCTACGATGGTGAGAAGAAACGAGTTGTTATATTGAGCCAAGCCAATTTTTAAAGAGGTTACAGTAGGATCAGAAATTTAATTGTTTTTCCAGTAGATGGGATTTTAATAATGGAGAAAGAGGAGGATGAGGAAATCTCAAAGACTGGCAAGAAATTATTAAATTGCCACACTTGTATGTTGTAAGACGGATAAGCATGCTTTATAGTTTTCCTGATTTCTCTAGAATTTCTATTAATGTCATTATAGAAGCACATTATTTTATAGCACAAAAGGGGGCCATTTGGCCTATTGTGCTAGTGCAGAAAGAATTGGTAAATAGGGCACGCTGTGCAAGGAGAGGATTTCAATCTCATTTTACATTTTGTCAGGCGTTGGAGCAAGCTCACTCATGTCAAATTTGATCCATGGAGGGCAATCAGTTTAAAAAATGCTTTGGGTCCAGCTACAAGTGGAGTCCTGTAGCTCAGTGGTTAGAGCACTCGCTTTGCAAGCGAGAGACCTGAGTTCAATTCCAGACAGGGCGAAACCTTGGGCAAGTTTCCTTACTCCACACGCCTAATAATAATCCCTCCAAAACCAAAAACAATAATAAATTGGTCATTTTCAATCAACGGCTGTTTGTGGGACATTGCTGTGCGCAATTGGCTGCCGCGTTCGCCCACAAATATACAGTCAATTCACTTAACAGTGTGTTCTGTGAAGCGCTTTGGGACGTCCTCCCGACGTGAAAAGCGCTATATCAAATGCAAGGATTATTATTATTATTATTATTATTATAGTTGGGATTCAGGTTAAATTGTGTGCTACTTATCAGGCTTGAAGCTACAGCAAGGAGTAAAGTGTGCTAATAAACCTGATCGTTACACATGTTCTGTGATTGTGTTAACACTGATTCATTTCTTCAAATTTCTGTTATTTACATTGCGATCCTACTTTACAGGTAAGATCTTTGCTGTGGGTGGTTTTGATGGGACACATGCGCTCAGCTGTGTTGAGAGTTTTGACCCGGCCAAAAACGAGTGGAAGATGCTGGGAAGTATGACATCATCAAGGAGCAATGCTGGGGTTGCTGTCGTCGATGGACTGCTCTATGCTGTGGGAGGCTTCGATGGCAATGAGTTTCTGAACACCGTGGAAGTATACAACCCAGAAACCAATGAATGGAGCCCATACACCAAAATAAATATGTCCAGTTTGTAAAGTTTAGCTTCCTTTTAAGCTGAACTGGTTTAATGATTTGTGTTGCAACCATTGATGGGCTAGGGTGGGGGGAGGGTTTGGATTCTACATTTTTGGGGTGTTTATGGTTGAGGAGTAAGTATCCAGAAAAATTAAAGCATGAACTCTGGGTGTTGGTAACATGAAGCCTTTGCATATTGCATATGTTAAATTACATGAAGCTGTAAATAGTATTGTCCCAAGATGTAGGTATGTTTTTGTGTTGCCTAGTGTGTTTTTGAAAAAGTAACGCGCAAACCTGGTGTGCAAACAGTTTAATTTAAAAATCTGGAAAATAGGAAAAAAAATTCAAAAGAGCTTCCCCAGAGTTTTTGTTTTGCACAATTTGCACATTGCCTCATCGTGAAGCAGATGGTTTTGAATTTGAGTGCAGCATAACTACAAAATAACAAAGGGTTTTAAAAAAAAGGGGAAATAGGCTTTCTGGTCTCTGTTAAATACCTTTTTATTTTTTTTCCGGTACTATGAACAGCAAAGAGCTTAAATGCATCATTGATAAGCTGACATGCCTGCCAATGAAAACTTTTTTTTGATTAAATGTTTTATCACCTTTTTATAAAAAATTTATACTTGGATTCTACACAGAGAAATAAAATGGCAGATATCGTTCTGAAGCATTAAAAACTCAAATAAATGCATACTAGAGTTTGTAAGGCAAGAGTTGGATCTGTATAGATTTCTTAAGCTTTTTAAGTGTTTCGCCTCTGCCTCTGCTGTAACTTATTATACTAATCCATGTAAATGCTTGTTGAATTTAAGGAGAGTTTCCAAATGTGAAAATGTATTGGCGTGGAATATTGAAAAGTGCATTTGTTTTGATGCTGGATTTTTAGAAAGTGTCTGAATGAGAATTCTATGAATTTTGTTACAAACTGCGTAGCTAACATTCCTAAACCACAATGCTGAATTAGGAAATAAATATATTTAAACTCCCAACATTTTTAGACTTTGTGTTTTCTTCCAGTGTTGTCTTTTCTTAATACAAAATAATGGATTTTGGCAATTTATGGGGTTGGCGTGGATTTTCTCTCGTTGGTATTTAATCAGAAGTGGTTAAGTACACCTCTCATAAAAATGCTTTGTTGACGTACGGCTTTATTTACTCATGTTTGTAATTTTTATGTTAACTTGAAAGAAATTGGATTTAAACAACAACTGCTGTGCCGGATACAATCCACAAGATTAGTACTTTTCTCAAAGCTTCCCCCGACCACCACCACTCTGTAGCTTGTGTCATTTTTCCTTTTGTGTCTGCTTTTGGGAAATCAGGAGAAAATGAGAATATTTTGAAGAATTCCAAGCAGGGCGAAATCTTGGGCAAGTTTCCTTACTCCACACGCCTAATAATAATCCCTCCGAAACAAAACAATAATAAAATTGGTCATTTTTAATCCACAACTATTTTTGGGACACTGCTGTGTGCAATTGGCTGCTGAGTTTCGCCCACAAATATACAGTTGATTCACTCTACAGAATATTCTTTGAGATGCCGAGAAGACGTGAAAAGCACTATCAAATGCAAGGATTATTATTAATATATCGCTAAAGTTGAAGTTATCTTGTAAAGACTACCGCAACTACATGTTTACTGGTGAGTAATTGATGTTTTGCCCATCTAAATATTCCCATTTTATTATGAATCCCAAACCTTATTAAGGAAACCATGCATGTTTATTAATTACAAATGCCATCCTCTAAATAACTATATGAATGTCCATATGTGCATATCTTGCTTGTTGGGTACATGAAATGAAATGCGATTACTGAATTTTTTTCTCCCCAATACTTTCCTGAATGTGACCTTTGTGGTTTCCCTGTGGTACCAATAACCGATTGCATTTGTAGCAATGTAATGTTGGAAGACTTCAGTTCAGGGATTAATGCCAGTTTCAAACATTAAGAACCTCTTGGCTCAAAAAGGTTTACTTTATGAATTTACTTTTGGATGCAGATGGCTTCCAATTAAATCTTGTGGTGGTATTACCTCAGTGACTTGAAGGAAGGTTAAAGGGCTCATTTCCTGCTTGTTCAGTGAATTAGCTGTGATTATTTATGGAAGCTGCAACAATCATATCAATTTATTGCAGCAAATTGAGATAAGGTGGAGTAGATTATGTTGTGTGTTAATAGCAGTGAATCTGTTTACTGCCATAAAACTGTCTAAATATGTCTTCAAACCTGGATATTTAGTGAGGAATTTACAATTTGAGTTATTAATTTACACTCCTTTAAATTGTGTGCAAATTGCCCAGTGTTTTGCCTACAAATGCAGTCCTTCACTGGATAACTATTTATGAAGTGCTTCAAGATGTTTTGACTTATAGATCCTGTGTCAAATGCAAGAATTATTAAATTGCTAGGATTTCTGTTTTGGAATAAAAAAAACATTCTGGGTGTATTCCAAATTTTTTTGAAAGCAACTTTAAAAAAATGGTGAAACAGAGCTGGATTCTAATTCTGGAAAATATGGAGTTGAGCTTTCCAGCAATTTATTCAGTTATAGAGACTGGGCATATTGAAAGTCAACGCCAGTTATGCTTAACATGCAAGTATGAATTTCGCAACATTCATTGAAATTGAAGTGAAATAGGCTGTTCTGCTAAACAATCTTTGTTGCATTCAGTTCCACTTTGATTAGCAAGGAAATGAGAGCAGTGTTCAACTGCTAATTGGTTTCGTTAGCTTTAGATTATTACTAACACTTCCTAGATTTCAGCATTGGAACGCTTGTTTATTTTAGACGTATGCGTCACATCTGGAATCAGTAACAGTGAAAAAAGGAACTGCAGGCAAGAGCAGCTTCTCACGTGAGCATGTTTTTGGTATGGGGGAAGGGGGTGTTGCTCTTAACCAGAACCATCTAATTTTGTCCAAGCTTTCTGTAGTTTAATTTTATTTCAACCAGAGGTGCAGATGTGAAATTAAATGTCATATTTGAGGCACTAATGGGATATCAAATTTTAATTTTATAGGATTTTCCATTCAAGTTCACACACCGCCTAAAATAAACCATAGCCAGTCTTTAAGATGGTATTTACCATATTTTTAATCACATTTTCAAAATGTATTGACAAACACCAACAGGATTAGAACAGGATCATTTTAGATGCAACATACCTGGCATTTATTAATAATTATTTTAATAATAATACTTGCATTTGACATAGTGCCTCATCACGTCTTCGAGATATCTCAAAGCGCTTCACAGAATATACTGTAAAATGTAGTGACTGCATATTGTGGGCCAAACGAGGCAGCCAATTGCATACAGCAGTGTCCCACAATCATTCATGGATTGAGTGACCAAATTATTATTTTAGTTTTGAAGAGATTATCACCCTGGAAAAGTGATGTCCCCAAGGCCTCATTCGATTACTCACAAATTTACTGAATATGGCATTTGCATTGCATTTCTATAAAATGTTCAGCAAACTGTCCCAGAATGTTTTTATTGCTTGCTGATGCAATTTTGGTCTGATTGTGGCATATTTTGGACTGATGACCATTATGCGCTTGAAGCTGCACAGAACAATTTTAAACCATCGGGAACGGAAGGTTTGAAACTAATTTCCTGATGCAAACAAAGATTGCAAAGCGCACACAGTTGGTTTTGTGCAAAAGAAAATATTTGGATCGGAATTTCACATATCAGTCTCACAACTTTTACGAAATAGCGGTATTTTATATAATGACGTTTTGTAACATTTGAATAGGTTTGTAATGATTTATTTTTGTTAGAAATTACAATCGGAGCAGCTCAGTGCCAGTAGTGGAAGCTACTGAAAGGAAGTTGAATGGAAAAAATATACGTTCCCCCCATCTAGTCGCTGTTCTAAGCAATTGATCACTAATAAAGAGTTGTGGAAACAGCCTGCATTATTCCAAATTTTGATAACGAGGGCATGTTCCCTCCTGCCACAGTATGCTTGTATATCTGATTACACATTTTTTTTTAAAAAAGCCTTATTTGATCCTTGTAGATATCCGCTTGCATGTGACATAGAAATTGAACAATAATCATGTAATTTGACCGACTGCAATTACCTGTGAAGAGCTTTACGATATTTTAATGTAAAATAGGCACTATATCAAATTGCAAGGACTATTATTTGTCTCCAATCTTTTTACTGTAAATCTTAACTGAAATGCTCTAGCAATGATCACCTCCATATATTCAAGTGGCCTTTTGAAAATTGCTGTTCGGAGCATTTCAGTAGTGGAGGGTAACGGTGGGGTTGTAGGTACAGCAATGTGAATAAATCTTACATTTGGACATTCATGACTTCGTTGGAAACTATAAAACAATGTTTCTCCCTTTTGAAGTCCCTGATCTATTTCAAATGATTTATGATATTTCAAACAATTTTATTTTACCTTCTCTCTGGTTTTCATTACTAACGGTGCTTGGAGTTTGCTAAATGAGCAGAATCGCGAGGTTTCCCATTCCACAAAGGAGCTCCTTGTCCATGCTTCATAAACATTAATCAGGTCAACTAAATCCCTCCAGAATAGAACAGAGGCCTAGGAATGGAAAAATGAAAGGTACGGATTTGACATGTGTTTTCAAAGCAATGAGGCTTTGACAAAATTGGACAAAATTTGGCTTTTATTTTTAAATAAGGGGCCTTATTTTGTTTTGCTATTTTCAGCAGTATAGAGAACAAGCAGCGAGGTTGTGAAAGCAATCATTTAATAATAATAACCCTATATTTGATATAGTGCGTTATATCTTCAATATGTTTCAAAGCCCTTCACAGAATATACTGTAAAGTAAATTGACTTTACAATATATGTAAAATAGCTCAGTGCTCAGTGTAGCTCAGTGGTTAGAGCACTCGCTTTGCAAGTGAGAGACCTGAGTTCAATTCCAGGCAGAGGGCGAAACCTTGGGCAAGTTTCCTTACTCCACACAGAGCCTAATAATAATCCCTCCAAAAACCAAAAAAACAATAATTAATTGGTCATTTTCAATCTACGACTGTTTGTGGGACATTGCTGTGCGCAATTGGCTGCCGCGTTCGCCCACAAATATACAGTCAATTCACTTTGCAGTATGTTCTGTGAAGCGCTGTGGGACGTCCTCCCGACGTGAAAAGCGCTATATCAAATGCAAGGATTATTATTAAAATATATTTTGTGGGCAAAATGTGGCAGCCAATTGTGCACAGCAGTGTCCCACAAACAGTTGTGGATTGAGTGACCAAATTATTGTTATTTTTTTAAGGGATTATAAATGTTTTTGATCAGTCTTTTGTCAGTCTCCGGTGGATGTACTAATTGGTTTAATGATTGAAATGGTGCAAGATGAAATACAGGTGCTTTATCACCGCTCTGACCTGGGCACATGATAATAGGTTCAGGGGTTTGTTTGCACTGCATTGATTTTCTGCTGTAGAAGTGCTCTGTGTTGTCCTTTGTTGGCACTGCAGTCACATCTATAAAACATAAGCACATAAGTAGTTGGGCTGTTTGTATGTAAATATTCTCACACTCCCTGCTTCCTTTCCATAAATATCTAAACCACGTGCTTGCCATCATGCTCTGGGTCCGTGCTAAAGTCTATTTGCTAATTTCATAGTGTCTGGAAATGTAAAGAGTAGCCAGAATTTGCTTAGTGTCTTAAACAGAAGACCTTCTCCATGATCTTCTCAGGGCAACCAGGAATGGGCAAGCTTTGTCTGCTCTGCCAGTCTCGTACAGTGTTCATAAAGTCCTGTTATCCCTGTTTTTTTCTACGGTGCACTGACCTAACAACTGAAACTTGGAAGAATGATGACAATTATATTTAGCAGTACTTAACTGTATTCAGTACAAGTGTTTAATTGTATTTAGACTCGATTTGTTCAGCAACAGAAAATAAAAGTTCATTGTAAGAAAAAAAAAGAAGGGGTGTAACAGGACTGCGAACACCCTGTACATTGAGTTAAAACAACACA